TTGCAGTAGAAGCAAGAGCAAACCAGTTAAATGCTTGGATTGACGGCCTTCAAGGGATGTGTAGATCGTACAAGAACTGGTGTTAATCATTCAGTATGTGGCTATTTCCCCTCTTAAATCCATACCTAATGTTTCAAGTGAGATTTACACCATGGTTCAGATTAAAAGATCCACCAGCACCTTTTCAAAAAGTAGTGGTATTTATCCTCTTATCTTGGCTATGTTCCGTAATTAATTGTATTCGGTCTACATAAATTCCCTGTGCCGTTTAAATTAGATAAGATTGTGGCTGCACCTAAACTTTATTTCTTGGTTTTTAGATATTTCAATTTAGCCACTCTACACATTCTGGAATGGCACAAGGTACCACTGGGCACCCTTAATTATGTGTTAAAGTTTTTGGGCATTTAATTTTCTTGGTTAAAAAAAAAAGAAAGAAAATTCTCCGTAACACAATGTATCACACAGCCCAGCTCTCACCCTTCACTGCTTCTGGTTGCTTTGCTTGGCACTGATTACCCTGTCACAGAACACCCTGACTGCATGTTAATTCCTTCACTGCCTCTGCATCATCTCCTGTCTCTTTGCTGTCCAGCACAGCTTGGTTCTCTCTCCTCCCCACAAGAGGCAGGTGTCACCATCAAACTTGCTAGTTGAGAAACTGGGTAGAGGGTGCAGAAACAGTGCAGGGGCTAGCATGGAGTCGGTGAGAATTTATTTATTTATTTTTTTTTTGGTGGGGACACATAGGAGACATGGATGTGGAGGTTTTGGGGGAACAGATAAAGCCCCCCAATATCCCTCACTGTCCAGCTTGGTCCCCACCTTTCCACCTCCTCTTCAATGTACTATTCCAACACCCTCCCCCACGTTCTCTATTCTCCCATTTTCTCTAACTGCTCAGAGACCCCCATACTACTGCAGTTCTTCTAACAGTCTGTTCATCACACCCATTGCTCTGACTACCTGCATATCCCTGCTTTTCTGAGCCCCACACAAATATCCCTCCACTGTTCTAAGTTCCCCCACCTCATCAACTTCACCCCTCTCCCCCCCCGCCCAGATAAGCTCATAGGACCATGGGACCAGCTGGACACAGGAGGGGGAAGGAGTGGAGCTGTGGAATCCCTACCACAGACCTGAACCTGGTGTCTGGGGAAGGGCTCTACACATCCATCTGCAGCATAGGAGGCTCAAAGGGGTTTGAAGAGGCACATTCAGATGAACACCCGATAGAGATGAATAGAGCCTGAAAAATAGCTCTGAGATGTGTCAACTATTCCATTCATCTCTGTCAATTTCCCCAGGACACCTGCAGGGGCAGCCGCCTGCCAGATCCCAGCTTACACTGGGGCAATAGGAAGGCTCCAGAACCCAGCTACATAGATGGTGGGGGGGGTCCCTGCCCTCCTCAGGGTTGGGAATCACTGCTGCCCCATTCACCTCTCCCCACTTTGAGGCATATCCCCTTCTGGGCCCCGGCCATTGCCCTGAGAGATGGGAGGGTGAATGGGAGGCATCTTCCCTCACCACCTGGCCTCACCATGATAAGGGGAGAGGTATTCTCTTCAATTAGGAGGGGAGGATATGGGCTAAGCGGCCTCTCTGCCATCCATCGCTATGTCTATGCACTATGGTTTAGCTTGCACTGACCTAGAGTTCCAAACTCCAAGGTTAAAAACTTGAATACTGCTTCCCCAAAGAAGCAGTGGGTGCCATGCACTAATTGAGATAAAGGCCAAGTAATTGAAATCAGACAAGGAACAATTAAAGCCATAGCTTGAGACACAGGTGTGTGGGCAGAAAAAAACCCAAAAGAATGAATTGCTTTGTAAAATGCTGGGGTTTTCTAAGGGGAACTCTATCTTGGGAACTACTTGCTCAAATGACCCCAAATTTGGATTCTAATGCTACCTAGAACCCCCATAAGGCACAGTAAATTTCAAGACCATGTGAGTCATCCTGTGGATTTTAGAATATTTAGAACAGTTTATCTTTAAACAGAAAAGGACACTCAACACTAACTATAGCACAGCAATCATGATAATCAATTTGACTTGTTAAGCAAAGATGGTTTGTATGAGAATTCTAACTATCCAAGCAAATGAAGCATTCTGTGTAGAGTCACTACAGTGGGACAGTGCAGGAGCATACGTTGGCACCAAAGGCCTCATTATCATAGAATCCTAGAATATCAGGGTTGGAAGGGACCTCAGGAGGTCATCTAGTCCAACCCCCTGCTCAAAGCAGGACCAATCCCCAACTAAATCATCCCAGCCAGGGCTTTGTCAAGCCTGACCTTAAAAACCTCTAAGGAAGGAGATTCCACCACCTCCCTAGGTAACCCATTCCAGTGCTTCACCACTGGACATATGTTACCATTTCTGAGCCAAAGGAATATGAACAGTGGAGGAAGGAAGTTGCTGAGAAAACATGCTACATTTCCCAGGAACAAAGTGAAATGAAAATGGACCATAGACAGCATGCATGTGACCTGTTCTGAAAGTTGGCAGACAATGAAATTCAGCCCTCTGAAGAGTGACAGTATGCTTCATAAGGAAAAGTAATTACTTTGAAAGTCACTCTTTAAAATGTTATAGTATACTGAAAATGAATATATATATTTTTTTCTGTGCTTCATGGTCTATCCTCTTCTCATGATACTGCATTACTGTCTTTAAAATGACAACTGTCAGTTTCCAAGCCAATGTATACCATGAGATTGCAGGACTGCTCTGCCATACTCTCTACTGGACAGTAATTTGACTAAAATGTTCTACTCTGAAAAATTACTATTTTAACAGATCTGTCTTACCAGAAAAATCTGTCTACTTTAATGACTAAACTAAGATTCATCTTTGTTTGGTGTGGGGAGGAGGGAGGCTTGTGGGATGTGGGTTTTGTTGTTGTTTTGGTGCAGAGCAATGCTGTAAGGGAGACTGGGATTCTGTTCTGGCTTGTGCCACATTGAGAGAATTGTTTTTACTGCAGTGTTAACTCAGGGGTAGATAACTTGAATTCTAATGGCACTGTATCCTGGCTTGACTGAGAGTTGTCAGACTGCAATGGGCCTAAACCCACTGTTTGTACTAGCAGCATAGAGTAGCTGAGTCCCCACTGCATTACTAGCTCCAGTGTCAACACCACTAGAGCTTCTAATCCTTCTCCCCATGGGCCAGCTAACTCCAGTTACGCAGTGCTTTAAACTCACTGTAAATACTTCCTCTTGTTTGTATTAAACCTGCTGCCTATTGTATTATTGGGTAATCCCTGATTTTTGTATTGTGGGAAAGAGTAAATAATACTTCTCTATTCACTGTTTTCACATCATTCATAATTTTATAGGCCTATCATATCCTTTGTTAGTGATCTCTTTTCTAAGATGAACAGCCCCTTCTAATATTTTTAATTTCTCCTCATATGGAAGCCTTGATCATTTTTGTTGCCTTTCTCAGAACCTTTTTCCAGTTCCACTGTATTGTTTTTGAGAGGGGATGATCAGAGCTGGACACAGTATTCAAGGTATGGGTGCACCATGGATTTATATAATGATATTATAATAATTTGTGGGTGTGTTTTTTGTTTTTGGTTTTTTTTAACCCCTTTCCTAGTAGTTCCTCACATTCTGTTAGTCTTTTTGACTGCTGCTGGGCACGAGCTGAATTTTTCAGAGAACTGTCCATGGTGACTCCAAAACCAACTTTTTGAGTGATAACAGCTAATTTAGAAGCCATCATTTTATTTTTATATAAATAAACATATATATATGTTTGGATTTTTTTTCTAATGTGCTGCTGTATAGATTGATAGGGTCAAACAGCTTCTGCAAGGGAAAACCATGTTTGCCTGGTTTCTTAGAATAGTTTGAAAAAGTTTCTAAAATAGTAGATAAAGTCAACCCAGTGAAAATAACTTAACTTGGATTTTCAAAAAGCTTTGCATAAGGCCCATCATAAGATTAACAGGGAAAATAAATAACTATGGGGTAAGAGGCAGAGTCTTGTTGAGAACTAAAAACTGGCTAAGTGATAGCAGTCATAGGGAATGGTTATCTCTTAAAATGGAGAGTGGATAATAGGGGGATTTCTGTATTTCTTATACATATCAATACGTAGGGGGTAGTAGACAGTGAATTTGGTTAACTGTTGACACAGAGTTGTTTCAGTTATTGAAATAATAGTAGGCTATGAGAAACACCAGAAAGATCTAGACACATTAAGGGGTGGAGTGGAATGACCATTCTCAGATATTTCTAAAATGCTTGTCACTGTAGTATGTAATTTTAACTTGAGCAAATGAAAGGTAATGAGTCAGGTCAGACTGTCAATGTTTCATTTACTAATTTGTTGTAAATTTACAGGAAAAAGATGTGGATTGTCCTGGATAGCTTTATGAAAAGGTCTAGTGCAAGGCAGCAGGAGTGTGACTGACACATTGGTTCTGACCAGTTGTAGTGGAACTGACCAGTCTTATTAATTTTTATACTTCTGCTTGAGCAGAAGGCCTGGCACTAGAATTTTCCGTCTGCAGATTTAGGAAAACAGCACAGCATCAACACAATAATTGGGTGAGATTTTTGTTTTGTTCAGAGGAAGCTCGTATTTTTCACTTCACTCACTTTGCTAAAGAAAGCTCTGATAAAACCTTCAAGATTTGAAGGTTATGAATGTAGAGGAGGAGTAACTGCTATGATGGTCTATGAGCGTGTACCTACAAGGAATGGGGTGCAATTTAAAGCAAAGGAAAATCTAGGCTTACAACAAGTTGAAGTTTCCTTTCCATTCAGTCTGTTAATCTGTGGCATAGTCTCCCAAGAGCAGTGATGGGAAACGCATTCCAGTTTAGGTTTAAATAGCTCAAGCACAAATTTACTGTATAGAAGCAATCCTATGCTAGTATGGATGGACTAGATAATCAAATAGATCTCTTCCATCTCTCATCTGTGGATCGTCTGTATTTCTTTTTGCATGCGAGTTTGGTAGAAAGTTCATTAAACCAACCTGTTTTATAGCTGGAGGATCACCATACAGCTGTGTTCTGCTGATGTCTTGTGTTTCCTCCTGTTTACAAAGCCTTTCTAAAAGTGCTTTTTTGCCTTCTGTTACTGTATGCATTCTGTCTGTTAAACTTCTTTGAAATTGTACTACAGCTTTCTCAGAAGCACTCTTCTTAAGCGGCCCAGGTGATGATTCTGTAGAAGAAAGCACGGTATGTTGTTGGAGAGGGAGAGAGAGAGAGGCATAGCAAAATGATGAGTCTACACTGGATAACTCTACAGACTGGCATTCACTTGTTTTCTAAAACTATTATTCACTAATCACATCTTGCTGGTGGGGAGAAGAATGTCTGATGTATCTGGGTCATAATTAGAACTAGTCAGGAATTCTGTGATCAGCTTTTTTTCAACAGAAAAATGTTTATTTGTCAAAACTGAAACTTTAATACTATGTCCAACAGGGAGTGAGTGAATCTGACCAATTTCGTGTAAAATCAGTGTTAAATCTCAGGTATTCAAACTTTTTTACTTGCCACTCACAAGTGCTCTCTTCAGACTGTTTATAAGCTCATAACAAATGAAACTATTTAATTGCCCAGCCATAGTTCGTTCTTAGCTTCAGTTTATACCTCTCTTCTGAGCAGGTTACTCTCAGAAATGTTGTGACATTTAGCTGCTCTGCATATAGATCTGAAGTCCTTTTAGTGACTGCAAACCTGTTTTTATTTTTTAACTTTGTGCACCCCCTGGTTCTAATCCTGGAGACCATAGTCATCCTTATCTTTTTTTCAACATTTTGATAGATTTGCTGTAATATGTAGACTTGTATTGCTCCAGAGATGATCTTGCTAGATTTCTGTATAATGCCGTGCTCTATTCCTTTCTCTGTATCCCAGTGCTTGCTTATTGTATTCTAACTACTGCCCGATATCAAGCTGATAGTGCTTCATTTTTCTCTACACTACTGTCCTCCGATCCTGTCTCTGATCAGTGTGTTGAATCTTGTAACCACTTAAGGTATAACTCATATGGTCACGAACAAGGAAAACCCTTTTCCTGTTAGTTGACACCTTTTCTATGTTACGTTGATCCATCCTATACAGTTTATCTTTAGGAAAATGACTTAAAAAGTACAAATGGAAATCATGATTAAAATTTGGTTGTTTAAATAGCTCTGATTTAAATCAGTCCACCCTTAACCAAGCCAATTGTTCAGCAAATAGAACATCACTTTAAGTGATCTTCTAGCTAATCATTTACATTAGCCTAGTGGGTACTGTGCCAACAGTCTCTTGTTTAATCCGTATTTCCATTATTTACTTACTAAGGAAAACATGGTACCTCTTTTTTGAGTTTTTGCTGACACTAACACACCAGTCTTCTCCCCTTAGTGTGTTTCCTTTTGTTCATGATAGTGATTCTAGAATCTTCTCAGTATGGATGTTTAGGCTCACAGGTTTATAGGCTTCTGGTGCTTTCTCTGGGGTCTTTCTCTTTAAATATGGGTGTCATGTTAGTATCTCACCATTGTCTGGTGGGCACCAAACACCTCCACTCTTGAGTGGTTTTTATTTGGCCTTCTTTCAGATGGCTCAGATGCCATCCATCCAGTACAGTTTCTTTACCTTTTCTGAGGTTTTGGAGTTCAAGGCCTGAGAAATTTCTGTTGCTGGCATGTTTCTCTCCCTCTTAGTGAGCACTGGGACAAAGAAATCAAACCATTTCCCCACAGAATCCTGAGGAAACCTCTTGATTAGCCTAATAAGTAAGACTTTTTAGTTTTAGTAAAAGTCATGGACAAATCACCAGCAGTAAACAAAAATTTACGACCCATGACCTGTCCATGACTTGTACTATATACCCCTGACTAAATCTCAAGGGGGGCTTGGACAGCGGTGTGCGGCTTGGCTCTGTGCTTCCCTGGAAGTGGTGACATCCCCCTCCCTCAGTTCCTAGGTGGAGGCGCCTCTGTGCGCTGCCTCAACCCCAAGCACCAGCTCCCATTGGCTGGGACCTGTGGCCAATGGGAGCTGTAGGGGGCCATGCTGGCAGGCAGAGGCAGTGCGCAGAGGTGCCTCCACCTAGGAGCTGAGGGATGTCACCATTTCTGGGGAGTTGTTCCTCCCCCATGAGGTAAGCGCTGCCCAGAGCCCTCACCCCCTCCTACATCTGAGCCTCCCCCCTCCCCCCCCACAAAAAAAACCCACCTGCTGCTGCTGGGAGGGGGGAGCACGGTGGCCCAAGACTGCCCCAGCAGCAAGCAGCCTGTGCAGCTGGCCCTGGGACTGCCCAAGCTGCTCAGGTGGCTCCTGGGCCAGCCGTACCAGCTGCTGCAGAAGTCACGGAGGTCCCGGAAAGTCACAGAATCCGTGACTTCCATGACCTCAGTGATAAACTTGCAGCCTTACTAATAAATGATTGTTTTACAACTTGAATATTTGATTAAACTTGCACCTAGCATTCAACTCTGCAACAATATTTGCATATCCTCAAAAAGGCAAAACTCTTACCATCAGATGCTTTTCTCTTGATACCCCAAGGTCCTGTGTTTGTGATAATGTCTCCCACTGACTCTTATAAAAGAAAAACAAAGTATTCTATGAACAAATATACTTTTAGAGGTGTTCTAAAAACAGACAAACCAAAAAAGTCTTTGATATGTAAGTAATGTTTAGAGAAGGTGGCTCAGAGCAGCAGTCAGAATGTCCTGGTCAGGTTATGTGCCACTAGAAAGTATGTTTGCTTTCACAAATCCAATGCCAAAATCAGATGAGCTTTGCTACAAAGTTATCACTTGTCAGTACTCCTTTCTGGTGCTGACCTGAGAGACAGCCATGAGTTGACACTGGTGTAAGACTTCATTATGTTCTCAAATGATTAATTGTCAAATTATAGCATTACATTTTTTTCTTTGGGGAGGAGGGATAGCTCAGTGGTTTGAGCATTGGCCTGCTAAACCCAGGGTTGTGAGTTCAGTCCTTGAGGGGGCCACCTAGGGATCTGGGGCAAAATCAGTACTTGGTCCTGCTAGTGAAGGCAGGGGGCTGGACTCTATGACCTTTCAAGGTCCCTTCCAGTTCTAGGAGAGAGGATATCTCCATTAATTTAAATTTTTCTTCAATGCAAGTTTGTGAATACCACATTAGAATTCCAAATGAAAGCAATATCTTTAAATGTTTTTTTAATAAACAATGTAACTTGAGGTTTCAGAGTAGCAGCCGTGTTAGTCTGTATCCGCAAAAAGAACAGGAGTACTTGTGGCACCTTAGAGACTAACAAATTTATTAGAGCATAAGCTTTCGTGGACTACAGCCCACTTCTTCAGATACATATGTAACTTGAGGTTGATTCCGTTTATGAAGTAGGTAATAATTACATCTGGGCTAAAATATAATCCTAGGCAGTGATGTTTATCAGCCCATGACACAGCTGTTATCAAATTAATGGGGAGCACTTTTTATTATATAGAAATGGGCTCCCAGTTCTTTACACCTTCATTTTGCTTGGATACAATAAAGCCTATGCTTTTATTTGCTACTGCTCTCAGAATTCACCATCCATATAATTTTACAAAACCTGTCTGACCATCTCTACAACCTGTCACTTCAACTAACTCCAATGCTCAATGTCAAAGATAGCAGAAAACTGTCATGTTTATAAGTTTTTAGTCTTAAGAGAGTGGTATTTTCACTACTGGTCTAATACCTGATATGAGATTAGAACTTTCACATCCCCAGCTAGATGCAACTAGAGGTTGTCTTCTGAAGATGCAATCAACTTCATCGTAAAACCTCATCTTTCGTCTGGGATTGCCAGGATGATCATTTTCTTTTTGCAGTGCGCGGTATTCATATTTTAAGTTCTTGTACTTTGTGCGACACTGCTTCCAGTCTCTGTCTATGCCAAATTTCATTAATCTTCTGGCAATCTCCTCAAAGATTTCTTTATTTCTTGTTGCTCCTTCAAGCATTTGTTGTATCTTCTCATCTGACCATATATTTATCAGAGCTCTGACTTCATTATCACTCCAGTGTTTTCCTGCTCCTGTATCATGAACTGTAATAACCCTAAAGTGATTCTGTGCTTCATCCAAAGGAATTAAATTGTCTGAAAATATGAATGAAACAAATAACTGAGGACTGCAGAATACACAAAAATAAAAGTATATCTGTAGCTAAATTTTAATCAGTAATGGAGTGTGGAGTGAATTAACATTTAAACTAGGATTTCTGAATAGTTTGTCAGGAACAACTTTGGAACTTTAAAGGTGTATACGATATATATAGGAACAGTTCAGTCATGCATGCAAAAATATTTTTTCTGCAAATAAAACCTAAGTTGCCTTCGGATGGCAATAGAATTCTGTCTGTGTGTTGTATTGTTGCAATGTATTATTAACTTTAAAACATTTGTATCAAAGCTGTACAGAGAGTAGCAATTAGAGTTCAAGCATAAACAACAACTTCTGTATCAGCAGTAAGAAGAGGGAATATTTTCATATTAACTTTAGAAGTAGAAAGGGATGTACTAGTACAAAAGCATTATGAAGGCGAAAACTGTAGCAGGTAGACACTAGATGAACAAAAGCCCAGTATCTAGAGATGTTTCCTAGTGTCCAGGTGGTGACATCAATCATAAATTGGGTATAGAGCAAAGTGTGAGTGTAAGTTCGAACACCAAGAGGAAGTACGTTTTGCTACTGTATGGGAACAAGTACTGTATGAAATAAATGGGACAGTCCAGCAATTACATAAGCAGAAGCTTAACTGCAGACATGGGAATAATTCTTTCAGCTTTAATGGCCTGTTATTAAGCGTGTGCTTATGTAATTTGTTGGAATGTGACCTCAGTTTATGGTGATTGTGTGGTAGGAGCTCTCTTTGGTGCTTGTACAGAAAGTACTTATATGCACTATGACTCTATTCTAGCAGTTCTTGTGTGTGTGGACGGGTGCTCCTGCTCCACTGAATAAAGTTGGTATAGGGACTGCTCCTCAGTAAATCAAGGTATTGGAGGCCATTTCAGGGGGTTCAAACCCAATAGCTGCCACCAGGATCCAGTCTGGAGGCTCCGAGCATACATGCTAGGGAATATGAAGGGATTGTGGTTCCTACCATGATTATAGATGCACCCAAACTTGAGTGAAAAACACATTTTTGTCTCGAGTGTAAATTAGACGATTTCACTTCAATTAACTTGAGACAGTACTGATAGAACAATAGTTGATCTAACTGAAACCTTAAAATGGGAGCAATGGTTTACAAGATGAATATATACATTTTACCTCAGTGTACAATCAAGACAAGTGTTTTTGTAGCTAAAAGTTTACTGTTTCTCTCTGACAATTCAATTTTATCCACAGCTGAATTGAAGTAGGTAATAAACAATGGCAGCTGGAATCCATAGTAGAGATCAGATTGCCTTGGGCTACTGTGATTGAAATTACTACTTTTTTTTTTTTTTTATTTTTTTTTTAAAATGAGT